TGGAACCCACAGCTGGTATATACTCGTATAAATATTTAAGTAGGTATCGAGCTCATTTGCTCTTTTGATAAAAATCAAGTTACATATACTATATACCACCAGTAAGTTTATTGGCATATATTGACAGATGTCATTCCCACGAAATAATTAAGGCTCGTTCACAACAAATTTTCGCTACAACGTATTTATCTTAACGCCTCACTTATACGGTACACCTGGTACTGTTAAGTCGTATTATTCAAAACAGTTTGGCTTCGGCAGTGTTTTACTGATTTTAACTTTTTAAGACGAGTCATACTTTTGTAGTGCGGTATAGTGTTTTCTTCGCAGCAGGTCTTATTCTCAGTGATTGCTTTCAAGCAAACATGCTCTTAAGGTCTGGAAACAAGATAAAGTCATTTTGTGTAAAATCTCTAGAACTGTACGAACTAAATCTATAGTTATTCGTAAACACACATTCTTTATTTTTAGTACCTTTCTCTAGATTTAGTCGATAATCTCTGACAATACATAATAGATATCTTTCGTAAAACTAAAGAAAGAAATAATATTGTAAGCAGAGGTACAACCAGCATTCTCGTTGTTTCATAAGACTTCACACCAAATTAACTAAGCTTGGTCACACAGTGCAGCGAAGAGCAAAGCTGAGAGAGTATTTGAACGAGCAAAGTCGAGTAGTAGCAGTGTGCTTGTCGGTACTTATAGTCAAAATTTAGTAAATAGTCAGCGCACCAATTCTTGCCTTGTTCTTCTTAGACAAAACTGTAGAATTATCTATTTCTGAATTTGTATTTAGACGAAACTTTAAAAAGTATGTTCGGAAAGATATTCTGTCAAATAAAAAAGTTTTCCATACAAGGACTTGATTTGGATCGATCAGTTTGTGTGGTAACTATATTCTCTAGTAGTCGGAAAATTGGCAGTTCCGACAAAATACCAGCTGTTTAGAGATTTAGATAGGTATCTTAAGAACTAAGGGACTTGTTCGCGTATAGGTGGTCATGCTGAGCAGTTATAACTATATTATATATACATTTTATAGGTTCGCCGACATTTTCTTCTGCGTGCTACAAATTTCGTGACAAATTTAATATATCCTGTGCAGGGTATAATGACGAATATTTAAAGGGTGCTTTACCGTAAAATCAAAAAAATATAACACTTATAAGAGTGGTATTGTAGAATGGCTGAGAACTGCAATCCTGACGAGTTTGTAATGGAAGACAATCTCGTCTCAATATCATCAGACTGAAAGCAGTGTGGAGTTCCGTTAATATTATTTCCGGGTACGAATCGTCAAAGGTACCGAGACAGTAAGATTAAAACCCTGATATTAGGTGAACTAGCTGGAGGATAAACAGATTTGAAAGGGACTAAAGAAGATTTATTAATCAATTCATTAAGGTTTAATCAATCTTCAGCAGCTTTTTTGGGCCCCAAGGATGCTGTTTGTAATAGGATAAGTGGTCTCTTGATCGGAATTTAGCCTTAATAACCTAACTCTCTGTTTTACTCTTCTTTTCTAAAAAGTAATGCATTTCGATGCTTATAAGTACATTCGACCAAAAATTCTGTATTAAATGAAAATCTCTTCAAATATAATATTTCTGTACTGCTCTGTTTAATTGCACTAAATATTTGAAAACTAAAATTATTGGCCTCCTTGTGCACCGCCACCTCCTTGTGCTCCTCCTCCCATATTAGCGCCCATGCCAAATCCCATACCGGCACCAGCACCAGCACCACCACCTGCGCCACCGCCTTGAGCAGAGCGACGCGCACGATCGATTAGGCCATTACTTCCACCAGGCATCCCAGGCATTTGAGGCATTTGGGGCATTTGAGCATTGGTTGGGTACTGGGAAATAAATTAAATATTTAATTAAGAATATGAAAAGTTGAAAGTTTAATGTTTTTTTTGGTTATTTGCACAAAAAGATTAAAAATTATTTAAAAAATTTAAAATTTTTGCATATTGATAAGATCCTTTTTATTTTAATCCTTTGACTCACCATCATCACCGCCAATACTGTGCAAATCAAAGCAATCATTGCTATGAACCTCATGTTTCCAGAAAAAATCGATGACGTTTTTGAACAGTAGTAAATTGAAAACTAACTTAGTTCAATGTCATCGCACTCGCTTTTTATAGTTTACTAGCTAGAAATACTAGTTTAGACCACATTACATACATATAGAAAAGATGCTATCTCAGTGATTTATTTAAACATGAAATAAATTTTTTTTTTTTTACATTTTGTTAAAGAATAATTGTTTGTGACTCTTTCTGTAACATGCAACATTAATTTAGTCACTTATTTATCTTCCTATAAATATATTTAATATATATATGTTAGTTAACTGCTCTTTCCAAAGTAAGTAACTTTGAAGAAGTTCAGTTTAGAGTTCAGCATGCGTGTACATTTTTGCTGCCAAATTGTAACGCCAAGTGCAGTCCGGAACTAACCTAGTGAGTACTTTTAACGCAGAAGATACCTTCAACTTTTCTTTTTACTATTAACCTATATTCCATCTATCACAACTTAATCGATAGAAAATGGATAGAAATTCCCTGGAATGTACTATTGCAAAAGACCATGCTTACACCTTCAATCACTCTGTTCCTATTAAATTTTGGTGCGATGGATAATAGGTACATGTCTGCCTAAACTTGTAATTAATAAAAAATAGCATACTTCGCAAATATACTTTGCCGTTGATATCTAACGTGGTTATAATTCATTTATTATTATTCACATATTTTGTATGAATTTTTAAATGTTCATGTACAATATTTGAGTTGTTGGTGCGCTTTACTATATTTGGTTGTTACGATTTGAGTGTAGAATTATTAGAAACGTTGTCCCTTTCGTTGTCCTTTTCGATATGCAATCGTTGCCAAAAGTGCCGTTATGTTTTATTGCTTCAAACATTTAATGGACACTTTGTCCACCTCCTTCAGCGCCTGCTTGGCCACCCATATTTGCACCGAAACCAAAACCCATGCCAGCACCAGCGCCACCACCTGCACCGCCACCGCCCCCTTGCGCGGCACGACGACTCATATATCTGAAGGGTTGAACGGACATCTCTGAACTTTCAGATGTCACTGGTGTTCCAGCATTGCACCGATGCTACATAAAAAAGTTTGAGTAGTTAGTAGATGCTACTTGAAATTATTACTATTTTATTTTATTTACCATCATAATGCTCAATACGGTGCCAATAAAAGCAATTAGAATTATACTACGCATATTTTTGGCACAAATTTTATTACTTCGTAACTCTGTATAGACAATTCAATACTACCGCTCAGCGATTCCACCAAAACTTTTTATAGTTTCGTTTTAAGGTTTATATTGACGATAATATTTGCAGATTTTATCGCCGGTATTTTGTTTAAAATTTGCAATAAAAATGTTCTACATTTTGTATACGATTTGTGAAGTGATTTGTTATACATTTTTGGTTAATTACATGATCTTAATTACATGATTACATTATGTAGTACCGTTCACTTTACGATTTTAGGAAATTAGTCGACTAAAAGTATCTATATTAATATTGGCTCCGAAAATACTTGACAGATTTGAAAAAAATCTTTCACCGTTGAGAAGCTACATTCTCTCCGGTGAACATAGGCTATATTATACTTTCAAAAAAGTTAGGGATCTGTACTAAAACGCCAATAATGTAATCCAAGTTGTAAAAAAAATTACCTAAAAAACCATGGCCATACTAACTAAACAATCGGGGTCAAGTACTTTTATGGTAAACTTTTTGATATGACGTAATATCCTCACCAAATTTGGCATGAGTTAGTTGCTAAGGCAACAATGTAATCTCCGATAGCTGCCATAAAAACTGGCCGATCAAAATCAAGTTCTTGTATGGCAACTTTTGTGTTTGTGTTGGGTATTATTACCGAAATTAAGAATACTTTTGTTTTTACTTATTTTTTACTACACGCTACAAGTAATTACTTCGTCAATTACTCATGTGAATTACATTACCATAACTAAATAATAAACAAACGGTGTTTTTTTTTATCGAAACATTTTAAGGTGTCGCTAGTAAACAAACCACAGTTAACGTAAAATTGTTCAACAATCTTGTTGAAAATTGTGTAAAGTAATCATGAGATATTGATCTGGCTGCTAATGCAGCACAAATCACTAAATGATGATTTACGAACATGCTATACAATCATTTGAGGTTATGAATTATTGTAAAACACTATATAATTGTTATATATGTGTGTATATTGTATTTGAGGCTACAAAGATCAGAGAATTTTAATTTTATATCATACAATTTTTTTCCGTATGTGCTCTATATATATTTATGTTATATACTTATATGACAAATTTCAGGAACAACTCGGCTATATAGTCTTCAGCGGTATACGCAAAGTAAATGGCGCCAATGGCATACGTATTATAGTACAGTCCTCAAAGCATCCATCGTTCGTCGAGGATCGCATTGAAAGCTTCTTGGAGAACTATTTGGTAAAAACTTATAATTATAAAAAAATGAAACAACCTTGTTTTAAAGTAATATTCATTCTTTTGTACAGCAAACCATGGAGGAAATGCCGCTGGATGAATTTGAACGACATAAAGAGGCTTTAGCATTGAAAAAGTTGGAAAAACCTAAAAATGTTACACAACAATTCCATCAATTTTATAATGAAATTTCTGTTGGGCAATATCATTTCGAACGAGATGAAGCGGAAGTGGCGATTTTGCGTAAAATTACGAAGGAAGAGTTTTTGGAATGCTTCAAGGTAGGTTTCTAAACGGAAGCGATTTGTGAAAGAAAAATATTTACTTAAGTAATGAATGAAGAATGTAGGGAAAGATAAATCTGGTGTTAATGCCGGGTTTTCAAAAGTGAAATAGCGTGTTTTAATAGTGCTACCAGGGCCGTTGAGATAAAATCTGGGTTCGGGTATGATTAAAATGAATTGTTGGAGAAAAAAAAACCTGCAAAAAATTGTTGCAAAGCAACGGGCCACGCCGGGAAGTCTGCTAAGAACTCTGAACACGTGAGGGTTCGTTTACCAAGTATTACAATAACAACATCTTGAATTGCGGCAGTCAGTAAATGGTGGTTTTTGTATTTATTAATCGCTGTGAGCAGTTTCTTTATATAATTCCATATTTTGCACCTACCTGCATTTACATAGGTATATAATAAATTGCCCTCTCACTTATTTACAGAACTTCATCACACGTGCTGGTCCCGAACGCCGCGTACTCTCCGTGCATATTATCTCTACACAAACAAATGAAGTGGATAACGAAATTGACACGACCGAAACAGAAATAACAAATATGGAAAGACATGAGAAAATCACCGATTTGGAAACGTTTAAATCAAGCAAAGAATTATATCCCATTTGTTTGCCGGTATTGGATATTAAAGCGAAAGGGGCGCGTAGTAAATTATAAATATTTTGAAAAACAACAAAAAAATAAAAAAAAAATACTTGCAAACATGTATACATAACTAACACCAGCATTTTTTAGCTAAATTATTCGCTTTTAATTATTAAGAAAAAGGAATAGCAAGAAAAACAAAATACAACAACAACAAAAATTGGTTAAACTCAAGCTAAGTGTTGATTTAGGTGAGTTGCAATAATTTTTTTATTTTTCATTTTAATTTTTTGTACTATTTGAAATATGTTTTGTATAATATTTAAAATATTTGAAAATTTCTAGAAAAAACACAAATTAAAATAGTTAACGATACACACAATTATTTAGCACCCATTGCTTTCATAAATTTCTTACACTTGTTTAATGGTCATGTACCTCAAGTCCGCTCGCTATAATTAAATTTAATTATTAATTAACAAATATTTATAATGCCTTTTATCCTTTAAAAATCATAAAAAAATATATTAAATCGCAAAAATGAAAGAATAAACGTTTTATTAAATTATAAACACATACATACATATTTAACTAGTGCAAAAATATATAAAATTAGCAAAGATGCAGTTATAAATAAAGAAAAATTTGTATTAACAACGAATCGTTTTTGATAAATGGACTGTTGAGTAGTGCGCTGTTCGGTATGAGAAAGCCGGACTCCAGATTATGTATTTCTTGTGAAATTAAATCCTTTGAGCGTTGATTGTGCTGCAAAAAATAAAAAATATGTAAAAACATAAGAAAAAAATCGAAAATTAATTAATTAGAAAAAAAAATAGTTTGGAATGTAAAATTTTATGATTTCATGTATGTATATTAAATTTTAGTTATTGCATATTTAACTTTAAAACCAAAAATTGGAATTTAAAGTTGAAAATATAATCTATATATAAGCCTAAATTTTTGAATTCATAAATTCGCAACCCTGGTTACAAAATAGATTTTCTCAAAATCGTAAATTTTATAAAAATTGAAAATTTAATTTAAATTTAGATATACATAATTTAAAATTAAGTTTTCTTCAGTATATGTGTTTACAAATTAATATTGTTTTTTTTAATCCGTTAATTTGCTTTAGAAATTTGAAAATTATTTTTAATTAAGATTTTCGGTACAACAAAATATAAAAAAAATACTTCAAATATTTACTCAATTATTTTTTAATGCATTATTTGTAACGCTGATTGTAACACCTTGTGCACATACCTGATTGAGTACCGATATTTTATGCTTAAAGATGATTTTCTCATTTGCAATTTCCTTGAATAAACCACCCATGTCGATAAAGATATTATTCCGATTGCTGGATTTTTTAAGCGCCTGCGTCAGTTGTAGGTAGAGAAAATCGCGATGTAAGTGTTGGAAATTGGCTGTGAGATGCAATGGTTTGCCTATCAAAACGAAAAAATGGAATTTTTATAGCACAAATATATTTAAATAATTATAAAGCAGGGCTTGACAGTTGCACCTTCTATTTATTTTTATCTATTCGCAAAGGTGGTTGAAAAAACTAGTAAAAATATGCCAAAAATTCGATTATTACGTACCGAATCACGGTACACACAAACGGAGGTTATTAAGTTCTGCTGTAAAGTTCTTTTTGAAAATATTTATTTGTGAGAGTGTTTGAAAAATTAGTAATAATATGCCACAAGTTCGAATATTATGTACCGCATAACGGAACAGCTTAGTGATGGTGATTTGTATTAAAATTTCGATTTCTTAAAGGGGTATTCTAGTCTAGAAATAAAAAAATCGTTTTTTTTTTCAAAGTTTAGCTTTTCAAGAATATGTCTGCAAGAGAATTTTTCAAAATTCAAATTATTTTCGGTGATATAGATCTTTTGCTGACCCGGCATCTTAACTGGTTCGGTCGGAACTGAAACTTTAAACGCGTTTTTCTCGAAACTGTCTTTGTCAAAACGATACTCACAATTTCTCAGGTTTTACTGGACCGATTTAACTGAAATTTTTAGAGAGTCTTCTTTATGGAACTAGCCATATCACCAAATTTTATTATTTTTACTATTTTTAAAAAAATCGAAACTTTCAATACTGTCGTACAAAAATTGTTTCAGGCTGTTGCCATTTCCTGAAATTTTTTTTCCAAACTTTACCGTTGTTCCAGACATTACTACTTTATTCTAAATTAATAATTTTTATTTATATTTTTTTTTGCTTTCATATTGCTAGGAGTTTAGACCCCCCACCCAAAAAAATGCGTGCAAAATTTCAGGTCGATAAGGCGGACACAACCAAATGGACTCAGTTGGCCACGCTGATCATTAATATACAATATATATTTTTATAGGGTCTTTAACGTTTCCTTCTGTGTGTTACAAACTTAATACACCCTATTCAGGGTCTTAAAAAAATATGTACCTTTTATAGAAAACACCGGACTCTCCACCACTGAACTACTACCGCTCTCAATGCGTTCGGTGAAGTTCTCCAATTTCCAGTAGTATGTGAACACCTTCAACTCTCGATCGCTTAACATTGTGTTATTAAATCTCCGAACTTCTTGCAACAGTTCACTAGATATACGCGTGGCTTGGCCCTTCGTGTGGAAGGTTTTCATATGTGGCAACTTTTTAGGCAAAACATCTTCAGCATCCATTGCTGCTGAAGACTCTTCATATTCATAGCTCACTTCGGCGGATGATGTGTCCACAGCATTATCTTTGGGCTCCACAATCGGTTGGAATTTCGGTTTAATGGCTGTTGTAGGTTTGACACGCAGCGGTGGTTTATGTTGTTGTGCGTGTAACGTTGTTGTTTGCGTAGTTGGTGACGGTGTAGCTGGTGTTGCGGTTGCAAAAGTTGTTACCGGTATGTTGGTTTGTTGTTGTGCATGTGACACAGCGGGCGGTGTAATTGTTGATGTTGCGAAGGTCATTGGAGGCAGCAGCAACTGCGGCATATTTATGCCTTGCTTTTGCGCTATATGTTGCAATAAAATTTTTATGTCTTGCAATTCTTTGTACAGCTTAGCTTCCAAATCACTAAATGCGAGCTTCAATTCGGCTGAAAATAATTATTATTACAATTTGCAAGTAAAGAATTGTATTTCTTTAAAATTTGGCATCAATATGTATATACATACATACCTGATCCACAAACACCTTTTAGCTTTTTCGTGGTGACTGCCTCAGCGCTAGCGCGCACTTCACCGGCGGTCACCGTACATACAGCCTTTTGTATTTCGCTTGGCAACTTTTCATCGTTCTCACTCTCGTCTTCCTCAGCATAACCTACAGTTTCGTTTGCATAACCTATAAAAACACAACATTAATATACAAAAATTATAAAGTGCGAATATTGACTCATTTCAAGTTATCGAGCATTCTGAATCGTCGCATAGTCTAGTACTTGCAGACTTGTGAAAACTATTTAATACTGTTATACTGGTCGCAAGATATATGTTGAGAAGAACTTATAATGATTTTTCGTTTCTCAAAACCCACTAAATATTATTTTTTTTTGGCTTAAGTTCATTCGTTGTTAAAATATCTCCTCTCGGAAACTTCTTTTTACTCCAAAACAGAAAAAATGGGGCGCGTACGTCCAAACAAACTAACGTCCATCTCACTTTTAAAGTAAATTTCGAGTTAAATTAAAATTTTTTTTTTCCAAAAATTTTTTTTTTTATAATCTACATATTTTACCTTCAGGCTGAGCAAAAAAAAAAATTTTTTTTCGCTCCACCCTAATACCCATATACCATATTCTAAAATTATTTTTTGGACTTGCCGTGACGGTAAGTTCTACCTATTGCAATGGATTCATATTTCGTGCTTTATTACGAAATAAAGAAAAAACTTACCTTAACTTCAGAATATACCGATTTCAACCTCTACTCAGACATTCTTTGACTTGCCACATAGCCCTCTTACCAATCCAAATATTGACAGTACATCTACAAGGAGTTATTCTTTGGCTTCAGGTTTTTTGAAAATTGAATCAAAAATATCTTCAACCTTTTCCGTATAAACTTATTAAGAGGTTATATCGGTTTCGTCGAACAAAAAACGCCCTTTTACAAACTTTTTTTTTCATATAAAAAATGAAATATTTTATTTAAGCTTCTTATTATTCCGAATTTATATATATTTGATAAAGATTTTGTGAAATTTTCAAAAGAAAATATTCAAAACTCGGTCATTACGACGTCATTTTCGACAGTCCCTCGGAAAAAAGGTGCTTTCGCGTTGACAACAGAATTTCTGACAGGATCAACAAAAGTAAAAAACAAAAACTACGTGTTTGAACTAAGACCATTAACTAGGTAAGGAGACGGAGAAAAAGCAAATAAAGTGAAAATTGTATTTTTGGCAGAAGTTTTTACAAAAACATACCAATTTCTAGACGTTTTTTGTTTTTAAAATAGCTGTAATGGACCAAAAAAAATATCCTCCGCGGCACGACCTTGTAAATTATATCTCAAAGATCTGTGAGAATGATGCCACAGTATATTGTTGCTAATTGAACACATAAAAGAGGAATAAAGCTTACTCCAACTTTTAGCTAAAGTCTAAGTGCCACTACTTGTAGTATTGAATATTTCCAGCACCTAAAACGTTTTCGTCGAAGGAACCGTGTGGGAGGAATTCGAGTTACAGAAAATAATACAGTTCGCCTACTTTTTTTACAAACACTTAACCGAAAAAGTAGCAAACAACAAATTTAATTAAAAGTGTATTTTTACTGTCGAATTACACCCACCAGTACCACTAAATTATGAGCGCACACAAAAAGTTCTGAAAACAACAAAAAAAAAAAAAATTACTGTTAATGAGCACCTAAATTGATTGCTTTATCTCGACTATAATTTCATTTCAACTTTCATATTACTTGCAAATGCTTCTCAGCTCCGTTTACCTACTCCATTTGGCAGCGTTGAGGTTGTAAAATTATCCGTTGCTGTTGTTTTAGCGGGCTCAGGTGGCAGCTGGGCGCTAGTAGCAGTTGTGGGTGCTGATAGTTTTATAGCGGGTTTATATGACTGTTGTTGTTGTAGTCGCTGGTTTTGCGGATGATGCCACTCTTGTTGTGGCAGTGGCTGTTGTTGTTGCTGCTGTTGTGGCGCAAATGCTTCCTGCTGTTGTTGCTGTTGTTCTTGTAGTTTTCGCTGACTTATTGGCGTTCCGATAGCAACGACATAGTTGACAATACAATTGCTGGCCATAAATAATAGCCATGGCAATAATAATAAACGAACATATTTTACAACACTTATCATGATGGTGACGATGGCATAAACAAAGTTTGTATGTATGTATATGTGTGCGTGTGTGTGTGTTTGCACGTTTCAGCACTTTTTTTTATATAAAAATTATTGTTTTTATTTTTATTTATATTTTTATCTGATTTCTTTCTATTACTACTAACAACTACCGTTATCGTGAATGCTTGGAATTGAGTTGGGGAGTTAGACCAGTCTAGCGAAACCGGTATAATTTTGATAATTTATTTTGAGAGTAAGCAAAAAAATTATATTAATATTTTAATGCAAAATGACAGCCACTGGGCCAATATTCGTAAACACCGTATCTAAAAAGGACTCTAGCCACTATGTTGATGCTAGAAGCTCGTGCTAGCTAGCAAAATACGTAAATTTTTAAATTTACATCAATTTTTCACAATATCTTGTCAAATAAAAAGTTTTCCATACAAGAACTTGAATTTGATTGATCAGTTTTTGTAGTAGCTATGTGCTAAAAAAATTCGAACTGAAAAATATTTACGGAGATTGTAGCATTATCTTGGCTAGTTAGGTTAGGTTACATGGCTGATACCTGAGCATTGCGGTGGTATCACATTTAAACCATTATGTACAGTCCTTTGTGATGTCAAACGAAGAACTTCTGAAGTTGAATATCAGTTATCAGCTAAAACGCCCTAAACTTATCACAAAGCTGCTTAGGCTTTATTACTATTTTCGCTATTTCACCTAAATGTCTAAAAGTATGAAATCCGCGGTGTTTCTGCCTTGATCTGGCAAAAGCAAGACATTCAATGAAGAAGTGTTGAAATTTTTCTATCTCATCTTCTTCCAAACAGCTGATGCAGCTGGCATCCAGTAAGATATCCAAACTAACTGTATGAATCCCGATCGAACAATGTCCAATTAGAACTCCTACAATCATTGAAAGTTGAACCTTGTTGAGAGCGAAGAGCTGCCTAGACATCTTATGATTTACGCTGGGCTAGAAAGACCTTGCTACTGCACAGGTTCTTATAGTTGACTAGCCCTTGCTAATTTGGTCTGAGGCCTGACAGTTCAGTAGTGAAATGCCAACACAGCTCCTACATGTTACCATTCCTCAGTTATTGAGATTGAAGTACGTCTTTTAGCAAGTTCATTAGCCTTACAGTTTCCTGCAATAACGCTATAGCCAAACACACAAACCAGTCTAATCATAAAATAACTCGATGCTACAGATAAGGAGTCTAGACATTCGTTCACTTGTCTAGTGTGCACAGTTGGCGAACTAATGGCTATTATCGCTGCCCTACTATCGGATTAGATAGTCACTACCCTGAACGCTGCGCTCAGAAGCAATAGATCTACTGCTACTGTCTTTATGGCAACCATGAAAGACGCTGTAGTGGTCAGAAAGCCTAAAACTGGACCGAGATAGAAAGTTCTCGATAGTGTACTCATCCACCAATCCTCCCCGCAAGCTTTGATCCATCCATATGTCCAGGAAAAAAAACTAGTCTAGTCTAACCCCTTAAATATTCACTAGTAAATGTAACGTGTCTGCGGCTTAGGTTTATTTTTTATATTTTATTTTGCTTCGGATTAATGCGAACCCGCTCGGAATATTTCTATTTGAAATTCATAGACTTTATGTTTTTTTCTTTATGGTATTTCGGTTATCAGGCTAACCACTTAATCACGTATTTCATACATTCTTGATCACTTAATTTATTGTTACTGATTTAATTTACGCTGATAAAAGCCGTTAATCTTAATAAATATAGCATTAAATTGCAGCACTTTAACGGTATTCTGCATTTCACAATTTCATGTCACGCATTTTTCAATGCCGGCTAATGAAAATTAAATGATTTTTTTTTTAATATTTATAAATATCCATAATTTACATGCAAATATATAGTATATAGCTATAAGCACATTTTTGTCGCATTCATCCGTCTGCGGTTTGTCACCTTCACACGCGTCGCTTTCTGATTAAACACTAAAATCTCGGAGATTTCGTCCGTCATCCTCAACGTATACGTATATATGTATATATAGTATATGGTTATGAACAGACGTCTGTATATGCATGTTTCCACCCACAACCATTCAACAGGCAGCCCGTAAACATGTCGCTGGTATTTTAGGCCTGTCTCCGAGATTTATGCTTGGTGTTAAAAATAGTCCAAACATTTTATTTAATGGGTTGAGGAATGAGCGAATGTCAACGGAATTTCACATGCTTCATATTTATTGTAAAAGTATGCATAAACTATAGTGTATATATACATACAAGGTAAGGAATCAATATTTGTGGGAGTTTTTGAAATATTATTTAAAGTAATTTAGTGATCGTTTTGAGGAACGCAAAAATTCAAACAAAGGTTTAAGTCCGCGGCCAATTCCCGTCAGGTATTCATAGATTTCCCTCCACTCATTAACTTAGGTGAGCGGTTCGATAAGTATTTAGCTTACAAAAGAAAAATTAAAATTTTGGAACAATTTTTCAGTATATTCTTTTAAGCCAGGGCACTTTTCTTCGATAAAATGGGGTCGTTTTCTTGCTACTCAGTTTCGAGTCAGCCCAATCGTTCGGTATCACACCTTGTGTATTCCAGTAAACAGCGATTTTCATTTTTCGGCCGATATGATAGTCTTCGTTTTCTTCGGAGTAGATTGAGAAGTCTATTGATGCTTTCCTGACCTTCGGTGGCAGGGGTTAGTTTCAAGCACTATAATGAAGTGGTCTCACGATTGCGCCTGTTAACCGGAGTGAGCAAACGCATCCTGCCGACTGCTCTCTCATGCTTAATATTTCATGTAGGATATGAAACCCGATCTTTTATGAAACGTGTATTTCTTCCCTACGCGCTCGAAACAAATCTCCCAGTCGGATTCAGCTAAAATTTTGTCAATAGTAGTTTTATAATAATGTACCACCATCGGGCGGTTCTCTCTCGTAAGCATTTCAGCTACACAGGTTCAACAATGTTTTATATTGTTATACTAAAGATATCTCATGACGTATGGTATATCCTCTTATAAGCACCAGCACTATAACAGTATCAACAGTGGTGATTAAATGACTCAGCGCCATTGTCTGCCGTCAAATTTTTATACAGTTGATAGGTATAAATTCACATTGATAAGAAAAAATCCCCCTTTTTTATTGAAAATAAATTTAAATAATAAGTAATAATAAATATTAGACAGCCCCGCATTTTTTTGGAAAGAAAATCTATACTTAATCACTATTTCTAATCCAGAACCCCTTCGACTTAAGCCGTAATGCCCTTCATTTTGAAAACACACAACAAATAGGCGCAAACAAAACCTCAAGTCTCACTGATATATCCATAAAAATTTATTCAGCACTACAATCTCTTACATACATACATACTTACAAAAATAAATAAATATATTGCAAAATAATTATTGCCACATTTGTTAACCAACCGAGAAGAATGACAGACGGAAAGCCATCTCCACCATATTCTGGGGCACATCGGGCTTATGACATACGTAAACCTCCTTCAACGGCGAGTTAAATAAACGTCCGACAACCACAAAACGTCCCTTAACAACACTCTCGGCATCCGATGTTCCGGTTGCTGTAGCCTCCGTGAACTCACGCACTTGTATTGTCATACCATATTCCTTAATGGCCAACATACCTTTGCCAACAGCCGGTTTAGAGTTCTCTTGCGCCAACAGACGTCGATAATGTTTGGTATTCTGTAAAACGGCGCGTATTGTATGGCAAGCTTTGCGCATTTCGGCAAGAAAAGGAAAGGACTCAGAATTCGCTTTTAGCGGACAGAAGACCGAACCATTTGTATTGTCCACATAGACATAATAGAAGACAGCGTTCTTCCAGCCGGCAGAGATTTTAACCGGCACAACATTATTGATTTCTTTCCACAGTGATTCCGTCATTGGTGACTGTAGCTCCGAGTCGCAGCCATAATGTAAGGGATTCTGCTCGCCAAAGTTATCCCAATCTGAACCACCGCTATCGGAGTCCTCATTATTGCCGGCATTGCTAGCGGTAGCGTTTATGACATTGGTGCTGGTTAGACGCTTGCGACTCGAGTCATCTTCGCTAGGTGTAAGACTGTGTATGGACGAACCGCCAAGCGACGAACAGAGGTGAGTCTCCTCATCGAAACCGAGTGTGCGTTGATTGCTGGTGCGTTCCTGTGTTGTAGTGCCACCAGTGGCGGCTGATGCAGCTGCGGAGAATTTTTGCTTAATGAAATTCTCTATTTTACGTGATTCCTTCTCGGCGCTGGCATCATCAGGTTGCTCAACTTTGTCCAACACCTCCGGACGCTTATTGGAAATGGACCAAAAAATAGCTAACGATTCAATGCCGCATTGTATGAGATGATCGAGCGTCTCCTGAATTTCTTCAATGTAAAATAGTGACGGCGGCACAGTGTCGTCGGGCGACAAATCGGGAGCATCGAAAATTTTCAGAATCACCGCTAGTATCAAATGACTGCGACTACAAATTGTGAGAAAATAACGACCGGTGGCCTGCGGCAAGGCGACCTCCTCCCACACATACAACTCCTTTACGCTCTGCTCGCTGATAAACTCAAATATGCCGCGACAGCGCATAAAGAGCTCCACGCTTGCGCGCACCTCCAAGGGCATTTGTGAGGCGAGCAAGTAATGATCATAATACAAAGCGCTGCCGTGTATGAAAAATTCGCGATGCGTATTCAATGGTTCATCATTCCAATTTCTATAATCCATGGCCTCCATTTCACTCAACGCATCGAATATGCGTAGCTGCGCCTCCTTCGGCAATGGCATATGGCGCGACTCTTTAAGTAACTCCTCGAAGAGTACTGACTGTTTGCGGTGTGCGCGCAATATACGCACACGTTGTATGCCACAGAAATGATGTAGAAAACTACGCAGTGCCGCGGTCGTTGTATTGCCATTAGTGAAGTTCTCCAAATTGAGCGTGGGAAAGGCGAAACGTATATAACCGATGAGTTCATCGGCGCGTAGACCAGCCTCCGGCTG